TCAGGTACGTGGTCCTGTAGTCCAGACCCCAGGTCTTCTGCCTCCATCACACTGGTCCTCCCCCCTCAGTTAGTTCACACCTATGCACTCATGAGTGGTGGGGGCGGGAGTCAGGACGACCGACTGATGACAGGGAAACATTTAGACCTGGTTTATTGGAGGGTCATCTTATCATGTCGGTACTAGTAAAAACAGACTGCTGCCTAGCTACAGTCCCATTCAGGGTGGCCCTAGGGACAGTGATGAGGAGAAATCCTCCCAGTGAGCAGTACACTTGGTTTTCTACTTGGTACAGAGAGAGAAATGGCCTGAGATAAAGATGTCCATGAAAAATGACTTGGAAGATTGGTCAGGGACCTAGGAGGAATAAAACTCGAAGGTCAGTAAAAAGCATTCTGTACCCAATTCCAATGTGTGGTGGGAGTTTTTCCAGAGCACCAAGCAATTCTTATCCACCATGTGGTGTCCTATAATTTAGCTTAATTCTGACTATATCTACCTGGAGACAGCATCAGATCCCACTAGTTGAGCATTCACTCTTTTAAGACCTCACCCCACTTCAGACACCAGTCTCAAATCTAGGTTTTTTGGGGGTTTTTTTTTAAAGATTTTATACTTATTTGACACAGAGAGAAAGCACACAAGCAGGGGAGAGGCAGAAGGAGAAGGAGAAGCAGGCTCCCTGCTGAGCAGGAAGCCCGACCATGGAGGACGATGCAGGACTGGATCCCAGGACCCTGAGACCATGATCTGAGCCAAAGGCAGATGCTCAACCGACTGAGCCACCCAGGCACCCGTCAAATCCAGGTTGTTACTTGTACTTCCTACGGACTGGCTATAAATCAGAGGTCCCAAGACCCCCTCTGCGGGTTGGATTAATTTGCTGGAGCAGCTCACAGGATGCTTACTAGATCACCAGTTTATTATAACTCAGGAACAGCCTGATTGACAAGGTATGGGGAAAAGGCACAGATCTTCCATGTTCTTTCCAGGCATGCCACTCTCCCGTACCTCCAACGCAGGTCTGCAAACACTGTTCCTTTTGGGTTTTAAAGGAGGCTTCATTACAAAGACATAATTGTTTTTAAAAGATTTTATTTATTTATTTGAGAGAGAGGGGCAGAGGGAGAGGGAGAAGCAAACTTCCCACTGAGCAGGGAGCCTGCCCCGGGGCTTGATCCCAGGACCCCGGAATCATGAGCTGAGCCGAAGGCAGATGCTTAACTGACTGAGTCACCCAGGTGCCCCTACAAAGACATGATTGATCAGATCACTGGCCATTGGCCATTGATTCAACCTCCAGCCCCTCTTCCCTCTGTGGAGGTCAGGGAAGGAGGACTGAAAGTTCCAACCCTCTAATTATTCAGTTGGTTCTCCTGGCAACCAGCCCCCATCCTTTGTGTGGTCCCAAAGTCACCTCATTCACATAACAAAAGACACCTTTATTGCTCTCCTCACAGGAAATTCCAAGCGTTTTAGGAGCTCTGGGCCAAAAACAGGGACAAAGACCAAATATATATTTTTTTCATTATAAATCACAATGTTACAATCAGAGACCAGAAGGTTTGGAGGAGAGGTGTGTGGTGATATCTAATGTACCTAGGGGAGTGCATAAGAAGGGTACGTGGATTCCTGTGTCTCTGCCAATGGCCCCCAGCAGAATGGGAACTCAAACTCAACCACCAGGCAAATAGAGGAAACCTTGTGGTGGAGGTCAGCCAGCTTCTCTCCATGGTGCGATGGATCCATGAAGGCGGTGGTCTTGGTGCATGGGCTGGAGGTTCTGCACAGGTTGAAAAGGAAGGGTTTTCTCTCACCAAGGATGATCTCGATACTGCCACTACTGAATGCCCAACCCACCGGCAGCAGAGATCAGTGGTGATCTCTTGGTATGATGCCATTTCTCAAAAGGACCAGCCAGCCATTTGGTAGCAGGAAGGTTACATCAGGATTCCTCCTATGCTGGAGGGGGCAGTAATTAGTCACACTTCGGATTTGGATTTGCCTTCCCTATGCACAGCATCTCTGCTGGCAGTCCATCTGAGGGCTTACACAACACTTGATCTATTGACATGGTATGCCACACAATACTTCGGAGCAAGGGACTCTTTTTCCAAGAAAGGGGGTGTGACAGTAAGCACACGTACATGGGAGCCACTGGCCCTGCCCTACACTGCATCACTCAGAAGCACCCAGAGCCTATTGAAGGCTCAGCAAAGATTCTGCCTCGGGAAAGCACCCTGTGGTGTTGGGGGATGTTACTCCATAATGTGACAAATGCAGTGAATTAATAGTCAATACATGGTGCTATGAACCAAGAAGTGGGAGTAGGATTGGCTGCTCTCCCCATCATTTCCAGTGACCCAGTTGAGGAATTGGTGTTTCCTATTTCTGAAACCTTAGGCCTTCCTGGGCTAGAGGTCCTGGTTCCTGGGATAGGGGCACTGCTTCTGTCAGGGGTCATGGTAAGTGTTCTGTTGAACTTGAAACAAAAGTTACCATCTGGTCAATGTAGGCTCCTCATGCCCATGGACCATCCAGCCACGAAAAGATTGTCATATTGGTGGGGCAATTGATCCTGTGTCCATTAGGAGGTAGCATTGCTGCTCTCTAAGGAGAGCAAGAAGAATGCCTGCAACTGAGAACATTCAATAGAGTGTCTCTGTGTTTCGTAAATAGACAATTGCACAACTATGGCCTGACAAGGAGGAAACCAATGAAAGGTTCAGACCTATGTAGGATGAAGATCCGGTTGAGCCCTCCAGGAAAAAAACCTAGACCGGCAGTGATGCTTTCCAGGGATGGGGGAAATCTAGAACGGGTGATGGAGGTATGGTCAATGGTAAAATGGCCACAAAGTCTTCCCATTCGTGTATTCGCAGACATTTACATTCCTATGCAATGTGACTTTGTCACTCCTCCCATCAAGAAGCAGTCTATGCGGTCCTTGAATCTGGACTTCGCTATGTGTGGTAGGTAGAATTATGTCCTCCAAAAAGTTCAAGTCCCAATCCCTCGTATCTGTGAATGTGATCTTATTTGGAATTAGAGTCCTTGTAGATGCAACCAAGTTAAGAGGAGGTCATGCTGGAGTAGGGTGAGCCCTAAATCCAATGACCAGTGTCCTTATAAGAAAAGGGAAAGTTGGAGACACAGAGGAGACCCAAGGGTTAGAAGGCCACGTGGGGACAGATGCAAAAACTGGAGTGATGCAGCTACAAGCCAAAGAACAGCAAAGATTGCTGGGAGCCACCAAGAAGCTAGGAAGAGGCAAAGAAGGATCCTCCCCCAGAGCCTTCGGAGGGAGCATGGCCCTACCAACACCTTGATTTTGGACGTGGAACCTCCAGAACTGTAAAAACCACATTTCTGTTGTTTTAAGCCACCAGCTCTGTGGTCCTTCATGGTATGGCAGTACCCTCTTTGGGTTTGGGGCAGACAATTCTGAGATGCACTCTATCCACCTCCTAGCAAGGTCAAGTCCCAGCAGCTCTGAGTGCCCACCAACTTGAGAATGTACCCTTGTACTGACTTTCATCCCGAGACCACTGTCTAACATAAGCAACCTGTACACCAGCCCTTGTCTCAAGGTCTGCTTTTCCAGACACTCCTATCTCTTCTCCAGACTCGGAGCGGGCCCACCATTCCGGATTCCTAGCTTCTAACCCAGGAGTCTGGGAGGAAGAAGGGCTTTGGAGGGGCCTTCCCCAACCGCTGCCGTGGAATTCAACAGCTCTGTGTGGTTAATGATTCTGTCACTTGCCAAAGCCTGGAAATGAAGCGTGCGGCAATTTAATCAAGCGATCTTCTGCAGCCAGGGGGCTTGGGCTCAGCAACTCTCCTGGGCACCCCATGGGAAGCCACCCCGATGCTGCTTTCCAGGCAAAGGCCTTCTCTCCCCAGGCTTGTCCAAGAAGAGAGGGCAGGCTGTGGGAGAGAAGAGGAAGAGATGGAGGGAACGTCAAAGCCGTGGGCTGGGGCTGAGACACAGGTAGGCAGGGGACTCAGGTGGGCCAACTCTGCGCGCGCGCTAGGGTCCCAGGGCATCCCAAGCCATGTGGCGGGCTCTCCACCACCTCTCGTTTCCCCATTCTTTTTATCTTATTTTAACAAAGGTGTCCATTTAAACGACAGCGAGGGAACGGCTGAGCTGAAGGAGAGAAGCGGTCATTAAAGGGAAGTCGGAGGAAGGGGTAGAGGTATTCGGACTGCAGCGTGGGGGCCCCGGGAACTGGGCTGAGATTGCGCCCCGCTCCCGAGGCCCCGAGCTCTCTGGGCGATCCCGGGGGGCGCTTTTCCAAACAGGACCCCTGTCTCCTGGGCCCGCACCGCGTCGGCCGCGCGTCCAGAGCCGAGGGCCGGGAGACCCGACGCCTGCGGGAGCGGGGAGCCAGGACCACCCCCTACCACCCCAGCCAAGGCCCCGCCCCCGGCTTGGCGCGCCGGCTCC